CCCCACATCAAGCTCCCTGCTCGGTGGGAAGCCTATTTCTCCCTCTCCCCCTGCTTTGTTTCCTCTCTCGCTGTTGAATAAATATTTTTTTTAAAAAATATAAGATAAGCTTATCCTCTAAATCTGTCCAGGCATTAACGTGTTTTCACGAAAATGGTAGTTTTGCATTACATAAAGTCACAGAACAGAAACTAAGGGTGTTGCTGGGTTTTAGATGAGTTGTTTTTCAAAAAAGGAATATTAATTTCTAAAGATGTGTTTATTTTAGGGAGAGTGAGTAGGGGCAGGACAGAGGCAGAAGGAGAGAATCCTCAAGATAGGAACTAATTTCAAAAACACTTTTCTGCAGTCAGAGAAAAGCAGAAGAGAGGCTGTCATGTTTTACGCTTCCTGAAGCGTGGTGTGTGTGTAGAGAAGGGCCTGGCCACAGGGTACAGCTCGCTGCGTTTCACAGACTGAACGTGCCCGCATACTCGGCCCCCAGAACCGGAACGTGACCCGCGCCCAAGAAATCCCTTCGCGGCCTCCCCTCCCGAGGATCACGGCCAGCCTGAGTCCCAACAACACAGAGTTGACTCCGGGTTTAAATGGCTGCTGCGGGGAGGAAAACTTAGTTGTTTGTCTTAGAAAACCCAGAATCCTCCGCGTAACCCCGGAAACGTCCCCACCTAGTCTCCTGATAGAACCTGATCCTCCTCCGGGGATCGTTCACCCAGAGAAAGGGGCAGCGACAGACGATCACCCAGAGAAAGGGGCAGCGACAGACAACTGACCTTTCAAAGTGAGAAATCCCTTTCAGGACCAAGCAAATATCCTGGGCATGTGTTTCTAGCAGTTTCCTGTCATAAAGTCAAAAAGTTTATACCTGAATTCTGTCTCGCACTGTGTCTGCTCCCTCCCGTGTCCCGTGGAGGTGTGGTTTTTTTTACTCAACAGTTTTGAACTTGGAAATTCACAGCGTTGTGGGCTCGGGCTGTGGGAGGGCAGGACAGTGATGGTACGGAGGAGGATATGGCTGGCTCACGGCCTGTGTGTGTTCCTCTGCAGGTGGGCAGACATGGGCTCCGAGACCTTTGGGGGCCCTGGTCCCCCGGCGGTGCCACCCTGGGCGGAGGGAGGCTCCCCAAGGCTCTGCAGCCCCTCACGCTGTCCTTTCTGCGGCAGGAGTGCCTGTCCCGCCTCTTCTCCCCCTGCGGCCCCGTCCAGTCCGTGCAGTTACAGGAGAAGCCAGACCTCACTGACAGCGCAGAGGAGCCAAAGTCAAAGTTTTTTCACCCCACGCCCGTTTTGGTAAGCGTCCAAGTGCTGCTCTCTGCTCACCTGCGGGCGCAGGGGGCGGTCAGGGTGGCACTGGTAGGCCAGTCCCTGCCACATGTGGCTGAGGACGCCGGCCAGTAAGCAGCGCCTCTGCTCCTTTCCCTGGATTTGCCACATCCTTTAGCTTCTTGTCCGGCTCTCTCCATTGTCCTGGGTGGGAGCTCAGAGACCATCTTGCTCGCTGCCCTGAAGGACCTCCCGGAGCTCCCCTCCTGCTCCCCAGCCAAAGTCCCTTCTTCCTGAGGCCCCCCGGCGTGGCCTCCTCTCCCCGTCCTGAGCCCACACCTCCCCCGGCGTCCTGCGGTCTGACCCAGTGTGGGCTCTGTCCGCTCCCAGGGCGCAGCGAGCTGGTTTGTCACTGTGTCCCTTCCATGACCAGGAGGGAGGTCCCGAGTGTCTCGCCTCACCTGGGTCGCTTCTAGCAGGAACTGGAAAACCAGGAGCGTGGCTATCCCTCCCCAGGATTACAGAGAACTTTCTGGTTATCTTCCTGGTTCAGGAACATACCAGCACGTGTCCCCTAGCCCAGCGACGAGTCGGGCTGAGAGCAGCAGGGAGCCTGGGTGCCGGGACCTGGAAGGATGGGACGGGTGCTGGCCTCCTGACACCTCTCCTTCCCCCAGGGCTTCCAGGTGGCCTACGTGGTGTTCCAGAAGCCAGGCGGGGTGTCTGCTGCCTTAGTCCTCAAGGGCCCTTTACTGGCCTCGACAGAGAGTCACCCTGTGAAGAGCGGCATCCGCAGTCAGTACCACGGCAGCGTCGCGCCCCCACCCCACTTCCTGGGCCCTGGGTTGGCGGGGGGAGCACTGTGGGCAGTGCCTGCTGTGTCCACGCACCCCCAGAGCGGCAGTCAGGGCGGGCGGAGGGGAGGGCCCAGCTTGCCGCCACTAGAACCCTCCTTGGGCCGCAAGTCTCCATCCTCGTGGCCTGCGTGAGAAGATCCTGCCTGGCTGGGCACTCAGGGCCCTGAGCGTTAGGCCTGAGGAGGCCCCGTTTCCCTCCCCCCTTTCTCTTCAGAGTGGATCAGCAGCTACGCAGACTCGGTGCCAGACCCTGAGGCCTTGAGGGCCGAAGTGGACACGTTCATGGAGGCGTATGACAAGAGGATAGCTGAGGTGGGGCTTCCATGGGGACGGTATCACGGGTGTTGTGTGGCTCTGGAGGGGGATGAGGGTTGGCACCCTGTCCTGGTCACTGTGTAGAGTTCGGGCTCCCTTTTTCCCTGCTGAGTCCTGTGTCACCTAGCTGGGTGACACCTAGTCTCTAAGTGGCCTGTGGGAAACAGTCTGAGGGACGAGGAGGCAGTGTCACTACCTCTGTGCCCCCCCGGCCCCCCAGTACTTAGCTCCTGGGAGGGAGAGGGCGCAGCAGGTGGTGGTGGGTGCGGGGAGGTGGCAGGAAGGTTCTGGGTGCCAGAGGGAGAGCTTTGAAGGGGGGGCGCGGGGCACCCCAGGCTGCAGGGCGGGTCCCGGGGTCCGCCGGGCACAGCATCCTCTCCTTGTAGGAGGAGGCCAAGGCCAAGGAGGAGGAAGGGGTTCCGGACGAGGAGGGCTGGGTGAAGGTGACCCGTCGCGGCCGGCGGCCCGTGCTGCCACGGACGGAGGCGGCCAGCCTGCGGGTGCTGGACCGGGAGCGGCGGAAGCGCGCCCGCAAGGAGCTGCTCAACTTTTACGCCTGGCAGCACCGAGAGACCAAGATGGAGCGTAAGGGAGTGGCCCAGAGTGTCGTGCTTCAGCCCCGGCCAGTGCAGGGCTCCCACGGGTGGCACTGGGACATGGGTGTGGAGTGGTGGTGGGGGGGTCGTTCCCTGTTGGGACAGACGTCCCAACAGGCTCTGGAATCAGGGTCCCAGCCTGCAGCATCCCCTGAGGCGGTGCCCCTGTTGCTCCCTGCGACAGCTGTGGGGGCGCTGGGTTGTTGAGACGCTTGGGACATACCCGGGACGTTGACCACCCCGAGCAGTTGGTGCTGGAACCTGTCCGGCTCGGGCCAGGCTGCAGAGGGCGGATCTCAGGGAGCGGCCGCTGCTGTGTGACTGTGTGCGAGTGACTACGGGGAGGCGCCCTCACACGGAGCGTGTCGGCATGAGCGCCCGCTCGCCTGTGGCTCACTCCTGCTCCTGATGACGTGGAGCTTGTGCCGCAGGCCATTCTGTGTTTGTGGGGCGGCTTCCCCGTGGGCCTGGGGGTAGAGGGTGCTGGCCCTGGCCTTGGCAGGGGGACAGGCTCAGCAGTGGATGGTGACCTGCCACCCAGGCACGTCACCCTCTTAACCTGTCTTGCTGCTGCTCCCCACTCTGGCGTCCCTCTTTGGGCACCGTAGCTCCTGCCTGTCTCTCTAGAACCGCCGCCAGCACGTCTCCATCAGCTCTCCTTCTGGGCCCCTGCCCCTCCGTATTCCTCTGACCTGGTCACCTGGTGACCAGAGCCGCCATCTGAATTCTGCGGCACTCCAAGGCCCAAGTCCCTTTACTCCCTGACGTTCTCCCCAGTCTGGCTGCTGCAGTGGGGAAGGGGAGGACGGGTGCCCCTGGGGGGGGCTCCCCATACCCCAGAGCCGCGGCCTTCACCCTGGGGTGGGGTGGGGGTGGTAAGGGAGCAGGCGTCTTGCTTTTGCTGCACTCGCTCTTCTGCGGAGTCTTCCTGGAAAGCTCAGAAGTGTGGCCACCCTGGCTCGCGCGCCCTGCCCTCTGGGCCTGCAGGCTCGTCTCTCCCTACAGCGTCTGGACAGCATCAGAGAGGAGGGCGGGGTGGGGGCACAGTCCCCACAGGGTACACTGACTCACGCAGCATGTCCCTTTTCCCATCCCCTTCCCCAGATCTAGCCCAGCTGCGTAAGAAGTTCGAGGAGGACAAGCAGAGGATCGAGCTGATGCGGGCACAGCGCAAGTTCCGACCCTACTGAGCTGAGCTGGTCCCAGGGCCCCACGGAGAGGGGCAGTGAGCGGTGGCGGTGTGTGGCCGGGAGGACATGAAGGCCTGGAACACTCGTCCCAGACTGCCCAGGCCTGGGGGCTGCCACACCAACCCCCTCCCCCCAGATCTGAGTGCCCACGGTGTGGGGGAGGACAGGACCCCCCCCCCGGTTCTGAGGCTGCAGCAGTGTGGGGGGCGCAGTGCTGGTGAGGCCTGCCTGGCAGGGGGGTGCCCACAGGCCGCAGGGAGCCACCAGCCCAGGCCGTGGTTGCTTCCCTCTCCCGGTTTGTCTGTTCCCAGTCTGCCCCAGGCCTTTGGTCTCCATCTGAGTGTCCGCTGTATTCTCCCTTCCCCTCCGTGGAAGAGCCCCCGTGGAGACGGGACAGCCTCCGAAGCATACAAGCACGGTTTATTTTTCGTCTGGCTGGGAGGCCTCATGGCTGCTCTTTCCTCCCCCTGCTCCCCACTCACTGCAGATTGCCAGCCACAGAACAGCGCCCCGAGATCCACACAGGGTCTCCCCCTTGAAGTCACAAATGTTGAAAGAATCTTGCCCCATGTCCCCCCCGCCCCCAAACTGCCCAGCATTTTCCACCTCATTCAAGACCAGTGAGGCCAGTCCCCACCACACTGCCCTGGCTGGAGGGCCTGGAACTAGGAATCCGGGTGGTGAGTGGTGGGCACCATGTCTCCAAAGGCCTGGGCCCAGGCTACAGATGATGCGGTATCGTCTCCTTGCACTGCAGAAAAGCACTGATGCTACCAGCCACCTTCTCGGGTTGGTTTAAGTGGACATAGTGGCTGCCCGGGACTTCCATGTACTGGTACCGCTGGAGAGGGGTGGGAATGGTTGGTGAGTGTGGCCCCTCGGCTGTGCTGGGGCCTTCCCAGGGTCTGCTATCTCCCAGGGGTTCCAGAGGGGCCCCCATGGTGAACCATGGAGCAGGGACTGACCCACAGCTCCCCAGTCACATGCTGGTTAAGTCAGAGCCTAACTCAGAGTCAGAAAGGCCTGATTTGGGGATGGGGGGAGTGTCCGGATTTCTGGGTCATTCTGGCCTGTGAGGTTGTAGAGCTAGGCCAGGGAGGGCCCAGTAGTCAAGGGCGACCCTCCCTGGGAGACGGGAGGGCACGCGGGCTGGCCACACAGGCTCGCCTTGGTGCTGGTGCTGAGGTCTGCAGAGGCCCAGGGGCAGGTGTTGACAGCGGTTGATGGTCAGGGTGTCACGTGTTCCCGGGGACAAAACCCGGGTCGCTGCCCCCACTGGAGACGGATCACCTGCTCGGTCTGTCGGTCTGGCCAAGTTGGACCTGGGCTGGGGAGTGGCGTGGACAACAGCACTGGGGCTCTGCCAGTAGAATGGGTTTGCCAAGTTGAGTGTGAGCTCTGGGGACTGGCTGCCCTGGGGAGTGAGGCCTGGGCCCGGGCCAGAGGTCCTGGTGCCAGGAGCGCGTGAGGACCCTCCTGAAGCTCATCCGAGCCGAGCGCATGCTCCTACCTCCTTTAGGACCAATTTCAGCGTGTCCGTCACAAAAGCCACGATGTTCCTGTCAGTGTCGTCCTCCCTTCTCACGCTGTAATACCCTTGCGCTGCTCTGCAAAGTGAGAGGAGAATCAAGGTTCACCCTGGGGATCCTTGCGGCGCCTCCCCCCAGCCCGGCTTCCGGGCTGAGCGGAGAGCAGCCTGGGCTTGCCTCTGATCTTCCTGCAGCTCAGGGCTCACCGTGGCCGAGGTGCCGCGGGCTTTACCTTGGCAGGGTCGTGGGACCCGCCCGCGGCCACGGCCTCCGCATGGCACAGCCGGGATGGGACGGGCCCGAGTCCGTGCTCGCTCTCCACGTCTTTCCTGAGATTTTGCCCATTTCACCTGTATACTTAAGAGTTCTGCACCCGTGACGACAGTTGATTCGAGGACACTGTCGTCATCTCAAAAAACCGCAAACCAGAGCCTCTGGTTCTCACCCAGCTCCTGGGTTTATGCCAACACTGAGCCAACACCGACCGCAGAGACTGCGCTCCGCGCTGGTGCGTGGGTCGAACCACAGGACGCGTGGACTCGGGACCGGCTTCTTTCACTTTCCATCCTGTTCTGAGTCACCCGTGTAGCCTGCACCAGTTCGCTCCCTTCTGGCTGAAATGAAGCCCCCTGTGTGGACACCACATTCAGCCTGTCTGCTGGCGGCCGCCTGGGTGGCCTCCGCCTCTGGGCTGTTGCGACGAGCACTGCTCTGGATGGTCCTGCACGAGCTGCCATGTGGACCTAGGTCGGGCTTGTATATCCCTGGGAGGGTGACGGTGGGGCCCTGTGGTAACTTACTGGCTCCAGAAACTGCCAGACTGTTCCAAGTGACTGTGCCACTTTACAGCCCCACAGTGGGAGGGCTCTGGTTTCTCCACATCCTTGCCAGTGCCTGTCATCTGCCATTTAGGGTTCAGCTGTCCCCAGGTTTGCGGGGGGTTGCAGTGTATCTCACTGCGGTTTGGACCTGCAACTCGAGTCCATGCTTCCTAGACCCTTGTGCTCAGCACCAGAGACACACCTGTCCCTAGAAGTCATGGTTGCGGCCGCAGGCGGTGGCTGTGGGACTGCGGCGGGCAGGTGGGGGCAGCCGGAAGGCCGAGGGGCCTGGCAGGGTACAGTTGGCCGTGTCTGCCCGGCCCAGGGGTGCTCTCTGCAGATGTCTGCAGAGAGAGGCGGCTGGGTCGGCTCCCGGCCCTGCCCTCCACACCCTCGCGCCAGGGGCAGCCCGGCCTCACGCAGGAGAAGCGGGAACCTCACGCGAGGGAGACCTGGGGGTTCCTGGCAGCCGAGGGTCTTCGGGGGCGCGAGGCTCACACTTACTTGATGAGCAGGACGCGGGCCCGCAGCTGCTTGGTGAAGTGCACGAACTGCTCCCTGCTGATGAAATCCATGCTGTGCTCGGGCTGTGGGGGACAGACTGCCGTGAGTTTGCTACAAAAGGCAGGTGTTGCTGCCGGTGTGAGGCCTCTGTCCTGGGGTGGGGGGGGCTTGTGGGGCCACCGTGGCCAGTGACCCTGGTAACAGGTCCAGCTCCTAACCACATCCCCTCCAGAGGCCTCTAACCTGCAGGCCAGAGGCTTGATTCCTCCCTTAATCTGTTCTCCCTCTTCCGGTGCTCATGGCTGTCCGGCCAGACACTGCACAGGTCCCTTTACGTCCTGGTGTGGTTGTACAGCTAAATGCTGGGAAGCGACCCGGGTGGCTTCTGGATCTAGATTCCAGGACAAGATGTGGCCCCTCATCCCGAACTTCCTTCCCCCACCTGCAGGCCGCCCTGCCGCACGGCCCAGGCAGCCCGGACTCCACCACGTGCAGCCTTCCGACCTGCACCGACCATGATCCTGCTTAAGCCACTGTGCAGAGTGAGGACGCCTTGATGCCCCCACAGCCCCACTGGCCTCCATCAGGGCCACCCTGTTTTAGGACCATGTAGCCACAAGCATGTGGCTACCAAGTGCTTGATATGGAGCTAGTCCGAGTGGTGCTGTGGGGGGAAACTGCACAGTGGATGTCGAAGACTTAACAGAAAGAATGCCAGATGCCTCACATGTTTATACTGGTTACATCTTGGATATATGGAGTTAAAAATATTAAATTTGGGGTGCTTGGGTGGCTCAATCATTAAACGTCTGCCTTTGGCTTGGGGTCCTGGGTCCTGGAATTGAGTCGGGCACTGGGCTCCCTACTCAGTGGGGAGCCTGCTTCTCCCAACCCCGCCCCTGCTTGTGTTCCCTCTCTTGCTGTCTCTGTCAAATGAAATCTTAAAAAAATAAAATAAAGTTAAAAGGTATTAAGTTTGGGGGCGTCTGGGTGGCTCAGCGGGTTAAGGCTCTGCCTTCAGCTCAGGTCATGATCTCAGGGTCCTGGGATCGAGCCCCGCATCGGGCTCTCTGCTCAGCAGGGAGCCTGCTTTCCCTCTCTGCCTACTTGTGATCTCTTGTCAAATAAATAAAATCTTAAAAAAAAAAAAAGAATACTCTCATCTTTTCAAAAAAAAATATTAAGTTTTATTTCCTCTATTTTTTTCACTCTCGTAACATGGCTACTACAAGATGTAGAACTGCACGAGACTCACGTTCTACCAGACGGTGCTGCTGGAGCCCCAGAACCCCAGGTGGGATGGGAGAAGCTTGATCAGTGTGTGCGGAGTGGATTAATTCGGGGAAGCTCCCATGACGACTGACTGTTGTGCCCAACACTCCTCCACCATTGTGATAAATATAAAATTCTTATGAAACACACACGTGTACACACACACACCTGGTCACAGCCTCCAGCGCACACTGCCCTTGATCTGCCCTGACCTCCTCCCGGCCATTTCCTGCTCCTTGGGCGAAAATGATCTTGGGTGCTTTTCCAGAAATAGACCTTTTGAGATCACCCACGAGGCCCGATGAACGAAGATCTACCGAGAACCCAGACACGCTTGCACGTTAGCTCCTGCTGGCAGAGTGCCCAGCTTAAGGAAGAGCGGGGAGCTGGTTCGTGCCTGCACAGGGGCTCCCCTGACCGGTGTCAACGCACACACTGAAACAGGACTCTATGGAGGATCACAAAGGCGCAAGTCGCACAAGGGTGAACAGGAGATGGCACCAGGACTGGGCTCACAAGTCTGCCCCCTCCCCCAACCCGTGCTCCTCTGGCCAGGGCGGGGTTGGGGGGGGTTGTCTCAGGCTTGGGGGCCCATTCAGGGGCCCAAGGCAGAGACTGAGGGATGTGACCTCTGCTCTTGTCTCCAGATATGAAAACGTAAGTCGGGTTTTGCAGCCCTTTCAGGCCACACAGTCTGAGGACATCTCTCCAAGAAAGCCTTTAAGAACAAAGGCTGCTGGGTATGCCCTCTTTTTCCTTTGCTTCTACCCCCACCCCGCCCAACCTTCTTTCCCTAGTCCACTTTCATTCCCTGGTCTATGCTCTTCTTCTTTATGTCTAGTGTAACTTACAGCAAAGTCCCTGGATCTACGTGGCAGCTCGTGATGGCCTTTCACCAATAAATGCTCCGTGCGACCCAGCCCGAAGCCTCGACCACCGCCAGCAGCCGCAGGCTCCCTCCAGGGGTAATCTCCGAGGACACCACTATTCAGACCGCGAGCCCCATAGATCAATTTGCCTCTTTTTGAACTTCGAGTAAATGGAATCATGCAGAGTGCTCTCTGTTTCTGGTTTCTTTTGGTCTGTAAGTATGTTTGTTTTTTTCCCGTGTGGTGCTCCAGTGTATGAATACGTAACGATGTACGCATTCTGTTGTTGGAGCACATGAGGGGGACTTTCCAGTTTGGGACTATTATGAACGAAGCTGCTACGAATGTCTTCGTACACGTCTTCTGTGCACACGGCACACATATTTGCTAGGTACACAACTAAGAGTGGAACGACTGACTCACAGGATCTGACTGTGTTTTGCTTAAGCAGTTCCTGCCAAACCATTTTCCAAAGTGTTTGCAGCAATTATGCTTCCTCCCGCAGGACATCAGAGTTCTGGTCTATGTCCCCATCCCCATTAAGACTTGGTGTTGTCAGGTCTTTCAATTCTGACCCAATTTCTACCCGTCTGGTGGAGGTGGGAGGTGTATTTCATTGACTGCCCTAATTACTGATGATAACGATCACCGTTCATGGGCTGACTGGGCACTTGGATAGCCTCTTTCATGAAGTGCCTGTTAAAATCTTTTGCTTGTTTTTAGAAATGAGAGTGTTAGACTTTATCTTATTGATTTGTAGGAACTCTTTACATATGCTGGATAGGACTCCTTTAGCAGGCCTATGCCTTTAAGTATCTTCTTTTAGTCTGTGGCTGGACTCTTCTCTCTCTTAATTTGTCTTTTGATGAACAGAAATTCTAAATTTTAATAAAGCCCTATTTATCAATATTTTCACTGATTCACGTGTGTGTTCTATTTTAAAATATATTGTTGGGCGCCTGGGTGGCTCAGTGGGTTAAGCCTCTGCCTTTGGCTCAGGTCATGATCTCAGGGTCCTGGGATCGAGTCCCGCATCGGGCTCTCTACTTGGCAGTGAGCCTGCTTCCTCCTCTCTCTCTCTGTGCCTGCCTCTCTGCCTACTTGTGATCTCTCTCTGTCAAATAAATAAATAAAATCTTAAAAAAAAATTAAAAAAATAAAATATATTGTCTACTTCAAGGTCATAAGGCTATTCTCTGTTTTCATTAGAAACTTTCCTGTTTTACCTTCCATATTTTGATCTATGATCCATCTTGAATTAATTTTTGTGTATTGGGTGAGGCAAGGGTCTAGGATCATACTTTTCCCTAAACCCATTGCCTGGCTCGACTTTATTGTAAAGCAGGGGGTACCCATTCATAATGTTAACAGTTGCTAAATTCCCAAAGTATTCTACAAATTCAATGTCCTCTCAATATTTTTTTTTTTTAAAGTAAGCTCTGCCCCATGTGGGGTTTGAACTCAACGACCCCTAGGTCAAGAGTTGCATGCTCTACCAAGGAAGCCAGTCAGACTCCCCAGCCCAATGTAATTTTTTTTTTAAAGATTTATTTATTTGAGAGAGTGAGAGAGAGAGCATGAGTGGGGAGAAGGTCAGAAGGAGAAGCAGGCTCCCCATGGAGCTGGGAGCCCGATGTGGGACTCACTCCCAGGACTCCGGGATCATGACCTGAGCCCAAGGCAGACACTTAACCAACTGAGCCACCCAGGCGCCCCCAGTGTAATTTTTAACATAAGTTGATCATTCCAAACTTCATTTGGAAGTGAAAATATGCAAAGAGAGCCAAGGAAAATGTGTAAAAGAAGAACAAGGAGCGAGCACTGGTTCTACCAACCATCAGAACTGATTAGAAAGAAGTAGGGATTAAACTAGAGCGGTATGGCTCGGATGGGGACAAGATCACTGGAACAGAAGGAGAGTGCAGAGACAGACCCCTTTGAGAATGTGTATCTTTTGTCATTCGGTGTATGTCCTAAACATCAACTTCAAATCAGGGGCAGCCTGCTGCAGGGGAGCTGTGTGCTGCTGAGGGCATGGTCCTCGGAAAGGGAAGGGGCACTTCCAAATGCCCCCAAAAGTAACTAACCCAGCCTGTAGTCGGGGCAGTGGAGACTTGGGGCCCTGCATTGCTGCCTGGAGGGTGACCTGGCTCAGGCCAGGGGTCCGGCCAGGATCACTCTCTCTGGAGAGAAGTTTGCAACAAGGGGCTCCACTGGTTGGGATCTAGCAACCAGCCCCCTGCCTGAGGACCGGCACGCAGGAGACAGACCACGGTGAGCGCACCCTGGTGGCTAGGAGCCCCCCACCCCCCCGCCCCCAGTAACTGGCAGTGGACCAAAGTGGCTGTTCGTCTGGGGAAAAAGTGAAAATGGATCCCATCCTTGAGAACAGATCCCAGCTGGATAAAAATCAAAACTCAAACATTCCCATCCCCTCGGCCGATGCCCCGGTCCGGGCCTCATGTCCACACCTGGGCCTGGGCAACAGCTCTCGGAGTCCCTGAGGCCAGAGCTTCCCACCTCTAACTACAGCCTCTCACATGTTCGAAGCATCTTACCCTCTTGAACCAGCTCATTAAGAGCACCACCTGAGTGTCCCTAACATGAGAGCACCTCGCTAGGGCACTCGACCCATGGACCTTCGCTCGTCTTCGCAGCAACCCCACAAAGACGGGCATGGGGGCTGGTACCTCCTGGCTGCTCATTAGCCAACTGCACGGATGAACAAACAAAGGAAAGTACTTCCTTTCTGCACGTAAGACAGCCTGAGGCACAGAGCTGGTAAGCGGCTTGCCGGAGGTCACACAGCCTCTGGGGCTGTTTCTGCAAGAGCTCACACAGCTCCACACTGGCCCCTCTCTCCCCTTCTGGTCTTCAGGCCCTCCATCAGGAACCCCAACTCAGCACATGCACTGAGCCGATGCCAAGCCTCTGTGCAGCAGCACGGACCTGGAAAGTCTTTCCCTTCTCCACCCACATCGACCCCACCACCCTGAGCCCAGCACACATCCCACCTCCTCCAGGCACACCTGCCGTCCACACCCATCCCTTCCGCCTGCCGCTGGCAGGCCTTCCCTGCACTCCCACGCAGGTAACCCACGTAAGGTAAACAATTACAGTCATTTCCATGAGAACCTAAACAAACACCAAAACCCAAGAGCCCTAAAATACGTTGGTGTCTTCCTACCCAGTTGTGCAAACACACAGACGGGCCTGCAAGTCTGCCCTAGGCAGTGGGTCTCCGCGCTCACCGCTGGCTCAGTGGGCAGCTGTGTGTCGGTAATGGTTTGTGTGCTCGGTTGTTTGTGGGTGGGAAGCCCCCACCGATGGTGCTGCTTGACTGTGGGCGGGTCATTCAGCTGACTTAGTTTCCCCGCCTGGAAGTGTGGGTGGCAGCAGTTCCCTCTCCAGGCCTGCAGTGACAATGACTCCCCAACACACAGGTGAGGCACGTGGAAGAATGAGAAGCAGAATGAGCGCCCCCTGCTGGCAATAACCTCCCCCAACCAGGTGCAGGCAGGGCAGACCGGAGCACACCCCTCACACCTGCCAGCCCTGCTGCGGAGACATCTTCCCCTCAGGACTCCGCGGGGCAGGGGACCCTCTCCCTTGCCCTCAGCCCTTGCCCTGCAGAGACCCATGACTGGAAAGTGGCTGCACACCACCTCACACCCACGAGGGTGGCTAAAATTTCAAAAACTAGAAAACACAAGTGCTGGTGAGGAGATGCAGAAACTGGAACCCTCGTGCATTGCTGGGAGTGACAGTGATGCTGCGGGCGTGCGAAAACAGTCTGGCCATTTCTCGAAAGGTTCAGCGTAGGATCCTCACGCGATCCAGCAATTCCGCTCCTAGGTGTGTGTCCAGAAACACTGAAAGCCAGGACTCGAACTGATATTCGTCACTCATGTTCACAGCAGGATTCACAGTAACCAAAAGGAGGAAACAACCCAAGGGTCTCTCTATGGACGGATGGACAGATCCACGCACACGGAATATTATTCAGTCATAAAAGGAGGGAAGTTCGGGCACCCTGCTGAGACATGGATGAGCCTTGAAAACCTTCTCTAAGTGACATGAAGTCCCCGGAGCAGCCAAGCTCACAGAAGACAGAACGGTGGCCACCAGGGGCTGCGGGAGGATGGGGACCTGGTATTCAGTGGGTACGGGGTTTTTATGGAGGATGACGAAAAATGTGGGGGCAACGACGGTTGTACAACATTGCGAATGGATTGAGTCACTGAATTGGACACTTAACGAATGATTTTAAAATGGTAACTATTATGCTATGTATAATGTCCCACAACAACAAAAGAAAAAGCAGCACTCACCAAAGCTATCCTCCGGTCTCTGTTCAGCATTAGGCCTGGAACGGAAGCACAAAGACGGGGCCTCAGAGCTGCCTGTCAGGATAAGGGACCCCACAGGGCTTCCCTGAGGACCCGGGGCCCTTCTGGCCAGAGTGCCCTTCTTCAGCCTGGACACTGCCGCCCGGCCATGGACTGGTGTGGCCCACACAGGTGCCTCCCGCCACCCGAGAGAACAGTGCAGGAGGACAGTGGTTTCCCTATCTGGCAGAGCAGCTGTCATGTCTGAGAACCTTAAAGTGGTCACCTGATCTTCAGGCCCCAGGAAGCATCCCATGGCTAAACTGTGGGAAACACCCGCTCTGCAGGAGAGCAGAGAAACACCTTCCTCCTTAGGGGCACCAAGGCGTTTTCCGTGCCCAGAGCCCCTGCTTTTGTTTCCAACTCCTGACTCTAGCCCCACCTGGCCTCCTGTCCCCCTTCCAGAACCTTCGCAACCTTTGCCTTCACCACCTGCTGCTCAGCGTGCCCATGGGGTCTTTCCCCCCAGACCCCCTCACAGCTCCCACTCAGGCTGCCACCACCCTGTCACCCTCCTGTCTAGGGTCTCTGAGCCACGTTTGGTCCAGAATGACCTTCTCCACCCTGTAACCGCCCCACCCCCACCCTCCACCTTCCCGCACTGCCCCAGGCTGGGCGCTCACCAACGGGTGTGCTTGCGATGAGAGAGAATGATCACACAGCAGACCATTATCTCCAAACGTCTGTTTTCTAGAAATTAGCCCTCCCTCTTTTTACAAAGGGGATATTTGCTCCTCAGGCTAAGAACCCTCTGGGGAAAAAACCAAATGCCGAACACTGTTGGCATTTTCCCAAAGGAATGCGTACTTTTCGGGCTTCCCGGCTGCAGTCCTGTCCTACCAAGTCCTGGTGGTCCCTTCAAAACCTTCGGCCAATAGCAGCAAGAGAGCAAAAAGCCAAACAGCACGTGCCCTTGGCCCCCTGACCCTGGCCTGGACCCGGGGGCCCACACTGTAGCCAGTGCCAATGCAAATTCCAGAAGTTCGGACCCACCTCCTTACTCTCCAGTTAAAACCCTGCAAGAGCTTCCCTTTGGTTGAAAACAATGATGAAGGAACTTTTCAACTTTGAATGTTCATCCACACCCCCCACCCCTATCCTGGGCTCCCGGGGAAGCTCTACTTCCTTCCACCAAGGTCAAAATGACTTCGCCGAACTTCAAAGCATGGGCTCTCTTTCTACCCTGAGCATGCACTGTACACCTGCTTTCTTAGCAAATGACCTCAAAGAAAAAGTCTATGTTTGTTCATTTTGTGTCAACAGTTCTTGGCGGTATAGGCGGGATCTCAGAGCCACTGGTGGAGAACAGCTGGCGGTCACCTCTGTGGTCGGTACCAGCTCAGACCCTCCAAGCCCCACCGTCTGTCTGGTGAGTTCTCCTGATGATGTCCAGACCTCCTCGATTTGGGTTGGCCGTCCTGACTTTTATTTACGAGCTGTTAAAGGTTACTGGTTATGTTCTCAAGGTGGGAATCACCTAGAGGAGGGGATGGATGGGTTGGTGGTCTTAATTTGGCATTATGCTAACCGATGTTATTAATATAAGGCTTGAGTCAGTTTTCTGGCTAGAAATACGAGAGACTGAATTGCTCGGCTCCGAAGAGAAGGGACACTGGCTCCTTCTGGCCAAACATCACTTTCAGGTGACCGAGAGGCCAGCGGAAGCGGCTGAGGCTCTTTCTCAAGACCCGTAGTGGTCCCGTTGGCATTTCCATCTCCTAAGGTCATGAGCGATCGGCTTGTCTGGGGCTGCACACCGGGAATGCACACAGACGACCAACCGCCCAGCACTCCGAGCTCCCTCGGTGGTCTCAGACCTCGCTGGGAGAAACCAAGATGCATAAGAGGGTGTCCCATGGCTGTTTTTGGAAGGGATCCTTGTAAGTAGCATCCTCCTGGTCCGCCACACTTACTGTCCTTAGATCTTATCTAAGCCTTAGTCTAAAACAAAGCTGAAACTAAAAGGACTGGGGACCCGGGCTTCAAAGGAGGGCACAGTCCCCCCAAAACCAGTAAGCACCGAGAGAAAGCTCTGGGAGATCATTTGTAAGGGACACGTGCAAGGCCTTACTTAACGGGGGAAACCTAAGGATAACCAGAGTCTCAGGTGGCCAAATGGGGGCTCTTAACATGTCCGAATTAGTTTCTTGTGCACACAGTTAGGGGAAGTGGGCTAGGAGACCAAGCAACCAGAAACTAGGGAGCACTCCCACCCCTGCCCCCGCCTCTGGGAGGAACCAGCGCCACCTAGAGGTACTCTGGGCCTCTCGCGGTTTCTTCGTTGTAGCGTTTGTTATCTTGGCGCAAAACTGGCCCTGTCCTAACTGGAACTCACTCACTCAAGGAATCATAATAAATTACGAGACTGTCTTACAATTAGATTCGTTTCAATAAAAGGGGGTATCTGGAAGTTGGGTCTTTAATGTCCTCTGTATAAATATTGGTGAAACAAAGACTAAATCGCGTCGGCACCCTGTTCGTGTACACGCGTCCACCTGTGACATACAGGTGAGAGCTTTTCTCTCCCGCCGGGTGGTACTGCTCAAACTAATTTGTAGGGAGCTGTTTAACTGGTTTAGAGGCAAGTGCTTATAGAAACTGGGCATTCTAGGGGCGCCAGGGTGGCTCAGTTGGTTAAGCCTCTGCCTTCGGCTCAGGTCATGGTTTCAGGGTCCTGGGATGGAGCCCCGCATCGGGCTCTCTGCTCAGCGGGGAGCCTGCTATCTCCTCTCTCTCTGCCTGCTGCTCTGCCTCCTTGTGATCTCTCTCTCCATCAAATAAATAAATAAAATCTTTTTTAAAAAGGGGGGGTGGGGACGCCTGGGTGGCTCAGTGGGTTAAAGCCTCTGCCTTCAGCTCAGGTCATGATCCCAGGGTCCTGGGATCGAGCCCCACGTCGGTCTCTCTGCTCAGCAGGGAGCCTGCTTCCCTTCCTCTCTCTCTGCCTGCCTGTGATCTCTCTCTCTCTCTCTGTCAAATAAATAAAATCTTAAAAAAAAAAAAAAAAGGAAATGGGGCATTCTAAAGCTCAAAAAGTGAAAAACAAACAACTATTGTTTCAAGTTCGTATGATGGGCGGTGACCGTCCCTACGTTCCGACTTCTGCGTTACTCCGTAACAAAGACGCCTCACAGGAAGGGACGCAGTGGATGGTCCAAAGAGATAAAGATGAACACAAATTTAAGACACCTGACCCCCTCCCTAACAGAACAATGAGACAAAGGAGGAGGAAGACAGGCAGACACCAGCAATCCTATAGTTACCGCAGGTCTCCAAGCCCAGCCCCAGTGCCCAGCCTATTCCCCACTTCTCCGCATCCTCCAGAAGGCTGGAAAGCACCCAGAGAAAATGCCTGTTTTGCAAGAGGAAAAGCCTGGAGACAGAAAAAAAAAGTTAGCCCACAACTTCCAATCTGCCTTTGGCCTTGCCCGCCGTACCTCTGCGGCCTGTGCCTCCAGCCCCTGCTCCTCCCACCCTCACTATCAAGGTGCCCAGACACACCCCAGACTGTGGGGCAAACTGCTTATGAGGGTCACGCGGAAGCACGTCTCACATCAGTGTGCAGGGGCCCACGGGCTCCCTGGACTTAAACCGCCCGCTTCAGATGTCCCCCCGGGAGCCCCACATACGGCAAACTGATTAGCTTTCAGTGGACACAGGTGCAATATACAGTAAAGCTAATTCAAAGTTGTTGGTTTAATTCAAATAAGCACTTCTTTGGAGATACCGACATTAAACAAATCTTTTACTCTACCAACATGTACCAGGGGTCAAAGGAGCTCTGTTATCTCTGTCGCAATTTCTCGGCAAAGAGGACTTGATGGGTGATTCTGTCCGCCTCAGGAAGTATTCGTGGGTAATTATTCTTTTTTCAAAGATTGATTGACTGGTTGATTGATTTTAGAGACCGACAGAGAGGTACCGGGGATTGATTGGTTGATTGATTGATTTTAGAGACAGAGAGAGCGCACCCGCAAGAGAGAATGGTGGAGGGGCAGAGGGAGTGGGAGAGAAGCAGACTCCCTGCCAAGCCCGGGGCTGATGACCCAAGGCTTGGCTCAGTCTCATGACCCTGAGATCATGACCTGAGCCGAACTCAAGAGCTGGATGCTCCCTCGTGGGTAATTATTAAGAACAAGCTGGTTAAGGCACGCCTGGGTGGCTCAGTGGGTTAAAGCCTCTGCCTTTGGCTCAGGTCATGATTCCAAGGTCCTGGGATCGAGTCCCGCATCGGGCTCCCTGCTCAGCAGGGAGCCTGCTTCTCGCTCTCTCTCTGCCCGCTGCTCCCCCTGCTTGGACACTCTCTCTCTCTCTCTGTCGAATAAATACATATATAAAATCTTTTAAAAAAATCTCACTGGCAGCACCAGGGACTCAAAATTTGCCCTGACCATTGACCTGTGTTTTCTTTTGTTTCTGTAGAAATGTCTCTTACTGATTCCCTGAGGGCTTGCTAACTAAGGCAGAGTCTATGAATGGCCAACATCACTTATGACACCTGTATTAACTCCTCCTGGGAAATATGACCCCATATCGATAAAATCAGGCAGAAAGCCACTGGGCTCCAAGAAGCCCTTGACCTCCACCTCCTCCTTTCCAAGGTGGCTGGGACGGGCTGACTGACCTATTCTCTTGGATAGCCATCGATGTCAGATCAGCTTCAGAGGGAATGATGGGTTTGACTAGATACTGTTACTTTCCCATAGAATATACTTGGGGAGAAGATTCATGATGGCATGTGGTCCCAACCTATGTCGGAAAATATCCAAGTTCTCAGAGAAGGAACCATGTGACGGTTCCCCTCCATCAGCACGAGGGACCAAAAGTTGTGTCTTGGACAGAGTTAAATCCTTCCATTCCAAAGCTCCCCTACTGCCCCCCCTCCACGAATCAGCCTGAAGCAGTTACAGAAGAGGCACCTCCCGCCATGTTCCATAGAAATGGAATGTAAAGACTGACAACGGGAAATTAAGGCAGG